AGCCTGTTAAAGAAATATTAGGCTGCCTTGATATATAACAGGGAAAAAATGTCAAGAACATATGATATTGGAAAAAAATGTCAAGAACATGATATTGAAAAAAAAAAAAATGTCAAGAACATATGATGTTGAAAAAAAATGTCAAGAACATATGATACAAATTGACCTTTGCTAAATACCATCGCTGACACTTGTCAAAGTAATTGGCTTAGAAGTGTAGAAAATAATGTAAAAAATCCCAGATTCACCTTATTTAGCTGAAGTTAGTTGGTTTGTTATAATGCTATATATATATTAGGGGACTTATTAAAATATCAAAAAGAATATCAAGACGAATTAGGACTGAAATGGTCTCTGGTGTCATATATACCTGTTGGAAGTGACTGGAAGTATTTGGGGGTAGATGGAAATTGTTTTGGAGGGATAAATCTGTAACCACTGCAGATAAAAATCACCAAAAATTGGCGTAGTCATTGACAAAGGTATGAAGACCTATCTGGTACAGCTGTATCGTTACAGGTCCCATTTGGCATTAGAATTTTTCTGTTATTAGCCAATGTAATAGAGAATCACAAGTTTTAACCAAAAGTGCAATTGTCACCCCCTAAATGACCATATTTAACATTGAAACAAATAGTGTCCATGTACATTACATGACAATATTTTAACCAAAAACAAGGTTTATATAATGATGCATTTTTTTTTTATTTTTAGCCTGATTTTGACAAATGGGGTGAATAACCTTTAATAGTTTACAGTACTCACCAAGTAGTGAAAATCTGAAATATAATGATGGAGTAGTTAAAAAAAAGAAGACAATTTATTTAGCAGTAAATTGTATGGTGACAGGGGAACAATTTGGAACAAAGGATGGGTGGGGTGGGGGGCAGTACATCAAGAATTGTTCTATACGAGGCATGTGAGAGGCGTCATCTGTAAATAAGGGGTCATTAAGTACAGTTCACGTTGGTGCAGTTATAAAGACATGACAGCAGATGGTAAATTTTATTAACGAGCGTATATCATGATAGTTCATTGGACTAATAAAAAAAGCATGTAGGAAGCATATTGTGAAAGTAGCTGTTAATCATGGCGATAAGGCAAGTTAATCTGCAGCAGTGACTGCTGTGCAGCGGTATGTGCTCTGTGTGCTTACGTAACCTTTATTTCCTAGAATTTATGCTTTGCATTATGAAAAAATAGAATGAAATGATACTTAATATAATGACAGAAATTAGAACTAATGATATGTTGAGGGTGTTTTTTTTTATGTGTGTGTGTGTGTGTGTTTGTGTCCATAAATGCACAGTGCTGGTGTATC